TTTAAAGTGATACAGGAGGTAAGGAATGCGAGTCTGACGGCTCAGACCGAGTGATCTGAACCCACACAGAGACAGGAGCCAAACCGCAGCGATGTTACTCGGAGAAGTCTTCAGAACTATTCGATACGGGGAGAAAATTAGAAAGCTAAAAAAAAAAAAAAAAAAAAGAAAAAAAAAAATCAGCTTAATAAACGTGGCCAGAAATTTGTAATCCGGTCGTTTCTAAAGACCGAAACACGAAAGAGGGTAGCAATTTACACTTATGTTCATTTTATTGTCTAATGCTGCCTCGTGTGGTCAATTTGTGTTACTAAAGGAAATGAACAAACAAACTTATAAAAAAAAAATGTTTACCAAATATTCCCAAAATTGGGGGCACGCCCCCTCGGGGGTCCACAGATGGAATGAATATATTAAATGTATCGCAGTACATTGTCCAATACTGTAAAGACTGGTAAAAAAAATGGTTGAAAGATGAATATCTGATAATAATATTATATCGTTATTTTTAATTCTCGCGTTTGCTGTCGCCCCGTGTCTGAAAACCAAATGTTTGTGTCCTGACGCGGAAAGTTCTAGCAGAGAAAGTTTGGGAACTAATTCAAGGACCATCTGAAGGCTGGTACGTAGAGTATCTCCAAAAGGAAACTACTGCTCTAATTCAAGGACCATCGGAAGGCTGGTACGTAGAGTATCTCCAAAAAAAAAATCCCTCGGTGGAGACCACCAGGGGGCAGTCAAGAACCATTTGTTCTGAACCGTACAACACATCTTTGGATTCTGGAGTTTCTGATTGTACCTGAACACAGCTCGTGTGACGGCTAGCTGCAACTATGGCCTGACGACGGCGGTTTGCGTCGGTTCTCAAACTGCTCTGCTCCTCAAGCTAGCGTGTAGCCAGAGTGGACAGGTTCGTCACAAGAAATACACATACGTATACTAAACAAATAGCAATAATTATTGACTAGTTTAATTCCAAAAGTTAAAACCAGAGGCTAATGCTGTTCGGGAACCTCTGACCTAAGGAACTTCCCTAAAGTAAGCGTCGGGTAAAAGGTCCGATCAAATCACCTTCTTAATGTGATATTTCAGTTTACTAACAGAACATAAACATTTCGGAAAATCCGATTCAATGACACCGGTGAAGAGCACATGAAAAAGCTTTATTTTCACAACAACCATCAACATAAAAGTTTTTCAAGCGTAGGATGTGTAAACTATTCAGCAACGACACAAACACTTAGTGAACCTCCTGGCATAATAACTTACATCATTTCATATTAAATATTATCTTTATTTGGCAGGACTTTACAAGGAAGCGGGAAAAATACGTTAGCGGAGGTGAGTTATGGCTCTGATTCTTTTCTTGTTTTTTTTATTCTCCTTTCTTTAAAAATACGTATTGTATATATTTAATGTTTGCGAGTGCTTGTTTTAAAGGGGCAGGACGTAACACTGGGAGCATTAAATAAACGTACATCCCCCCTGACTCCCCCCTTGCTTCATGATGAGGAGTAAGCGAGTGGTACACATTGAGCGTTTGACAAAACACGATGTAGAGCGTTGAATCCTGGGAAAATTTGTATCAGTGTTTTTTTTTTTTGTTTTACAGGGAGAGAATTTTACACAGTGATGCATTTGCATTCTCTTAATACATTCATTTAATGTCTACCAATACGTGTGGTACAGTAAATACTACAGGGCTAAGCAAAAAAAAAAAAAAAAAAAAAAAAAAGTGTCGGTTTAAGACAACAGTATCTTGAGACAATATACTGCCTTTTTTTTTTTTTTTTTTTTTTACTAACTACAGAAAACTGTATTGGGCCTGATACTTCATTAAAACACATTCATATACTTCAAACATGTGGCAACTTAACGACCAGATACTCTGGAACAGCCCAACCATCTGCCCTTGGTCGGCTAGTGTTGTGTATTTTCCTACTGCACTTGAGCGTCAACGGTGTCTGCGTCAAACCACAATGTCTACTGTTGCCTCGTGTGGTGGATTGGTGAGATTTGGGTGAATCACCACAAAAAATTATTAACATCATAGTCACCAAAAAAAAAAAACGGGCGCGAGGGGCTTCCAATGGAATATGGCACGCTGGACATGAATGATAACAAGCCTCCAGTCACTAGGGGGCAGCAACTCATACAGTGCTTTGTACAGATAAAATTCGCCAGGGTGTGATGACAAAAAATAATTAAAAACCACTGTGTTAAATGTTAAATATCACAGAACTCCTAATCTGCCTTTGGTGCAGGGAGAAAATTCAGTTGAAATATGTAGCAACTCAAAGTTGCAGAGTTGAATCAAATTAGCATTTTGCTAGTTCGGACTCTCTTTCTTGCCCCGTCCGAAGTGTAAAACTGAGGGTCAATGAAGCAGGAGATACTTTAAAAGTCAAATCATTTGCAACCGTGCAGCCAGACATCAGCGACAACAACAGGAAGTTTCAGAAGAATAAATAAAGAATACTTTTTACAGTGTTTAAACTCACGCGCGAAGGCAGGGGGGCGGAAAAAAAACAACCCAAAAACAAAACAAGAAAAGATCGAGAATACAACCGTACAAT